TCCTGCATGTGCCAGGACTGTGCGTGCATTTGGAGCTGGGGGTGGTGGGAAGAGGAGCCCCATCAGTTCCCAAAGTCCTGGATCTCACCTTTAGATGGAACCCTTCATAAGTCTCACATCTTTTAAAAATGACAAACCACCTCCTGCTGCCGTCCTGGTTTCTTCCTTCCCTGCTCACCAGCATGATGCTGGGCTGCTGCTGGAATTGATAATCCAGCACAGCCTCCCACACAGCCCCAGCCCTGCTCCTGAGGCTGCTGCTGCTCTGGGACTTGTCCCAGTGAAGCTGTAGGGCTGCAGCTCCTGGCCCAGCACACAGCCTGGGAACCAGCTGAGGCCATGCGCTGGCTGCTGTCCTCGCTGACCTTCTTTTGTTTTGTGGTGACATTACAGGAACAAGCTATACAGTGGCTCTGCTGACTGCACCATTATTGTGAGTACCTGGGACCCCTGCTGTGCTTGGGAGTGGAGACTTGGGATTAATAGGGCAGCAGGGACCTGCATCCTGGTTTCTGTAACGTTTTTCAGCTGCTGGTGATAGGATTGGTATCTCGTTTGCTTTATGCCAAGCCTTTAACCAAGGTTCCCAAGGGTTGGATTTGGGTGTTCCCTGCAGACTGGGCACATGCTGCTCGTCAAGCCAGGCTGGTGGCTCACGCCGGTGCCTGTGTTTTTGCTTCACTCCAGAAGGAAAGAGGAAGGGCTTCAGCACCAGGGTCTGCTCCTGCCCCTCATAGGCTCTCCTCCTTTCCTTTGCAGGTCTGGGATATCCAAAATCTGCAGAAAGTGAACACGATCCGAGCGCATGACAATCCTGTTTGCACTTTGGTCTCCTCGCACAACATGCTGTTCAGTGGCTCCCTCAAAGCCATCAAGGTAGAGCTCTGGGGTAGCTCCTCTTGGTTCACTTGGGGACTGATGCTGCAGGCTGTCAGGTAGCAGTTTCCAAATAGAAATCAAGTGACATTTTGGTCTGTATCTTATTACTCTGTTCTCTGGAGTTACATAGAACAGCCAGTAGTGTGCTGTGTGCCGGTTAGAGATTTTCTGAGACCTGACTGAAAAGACCCTTTTGTTCCTTTTAATTCTGTAAACCTGAGGCTTCAGGTGGAGGACGTTGGCAGTTCCCCAATGTGTGATTCCCTGGGCTCCTTACACACCTACTCAGACCATTGGGAATTGTGCCTTGTGCCCAGAATTGGCTGGGGATTCAACCTGCCTGTTTGAAACCGCCTCCAAAGGATCTTGAGTCAGTGTTCTTTTCCCAAAGCATGCAAAAAATCAGGGAACAGCTTTGCAAGTTGCCCTTTAAAGCCTTGGCTAGATTCCATTGGTTCTGCTTCCAGCTCCTGGTGAGGCGGCTTATGGGACCGTCCATCTGTAAGAGAGCACATGCTCTTTTCTTTATCTGGGCCTGGAGTGGTTTTGCAGAGCGCTTGGGGCTGGAAGTGACAGCACTAAGCAAAAACAGCACATGGGGCCTTCTGTTTTTCTCATCCCCAGCCACTTTCTGCCACGTGAGCTGAGTGGGTCAGCAGTGCTGTTTGGAGCTCCATTGATCCCTGTGTTCAGAGGGCTTCAGCCAGCATTTTCCAGGAGCTGTGGGAATAGACAGGCTGTGAGGAGAAGTCCAGTGCAGGATTTGGTTTAGGTTTTCCAAGCCTATAGCTCTGCTAAGGAAGGGTCTGTGCCAGCAATAATGCAGGCTCCATTCAAACTTTCCCAGCCCTTGGGAACATGCTTATTCAGCATAGTTATTGTATCTGCCAGCCAGCGGGTTCAGCTGATTCCCATGGGGCTGGAGAACCAGCACAGGATTCCACTGTGTGAACTTTTAGGGCCCTGTACTGACTCTCCTCTGCGTGTGTTTGTGCTGTCCTTAGGTCTGGGATATCGTGGGTACTGAGCTCAAACTGAAGAAAGAACTGACAGGTCTCAATCACTGGGTGCGAGCACTGGTGGCTTCTCAAAACTATCTGTACAGCGGATCATACCAAACCATCAAGGTGAGACTCGTGGCAGTTGTAAGCCATAGGCTGTCCCTGATACATATATGTATTCTGCAGCACGGATTGGCTGAGCAGGGCAGAAGGCAGTGCTCGGAAGTGAGAACACTGCTGCAGCACTGCTGACATGCTAGCTTTTACTGATTGCATCTTCATAGGCACTAATTCAGGGCTCTGGCTGCTCCTTGTGAGTGCAGCTGCCCAGGGATGCTCGCTAAGATAAAAGCGGCCACGCAGCCGTGGCGCCTCACACTGCCTCTGCAGCTGCCGCAGCGTTATCTGTGCTGACAGTGCTGCTGATAAGAGGGGAAGGTCACTGTCTGGCTCTAGAGTTACCATAAATCTGTACGTGCTTTGCAAAGTGCCCTCATCTGTGTTGGCTCAGGCTTTGATGAATAGTTCACCTCTCAGCATCTGGATGACATGAGAGAATTTGAAGTTTCCCTCCCTTATTAATAAATCCCCATTAATTTGCCCGCATCGGTTTCTTGTGCTCCCAGGAGCAGATTTGTGCACGTGTGTGCAGTCACAAACACAAAGCATGCAATCTCCGCCATTTTTTCAGCCTAGATATCCAAAGCTGGGCAGCTGAATAAGACAGCAGGACTTTGCTCATTGGCACTGAACGTTCCCAGCTGGACAGATCAGTCTGTAACACGGAGCAGGGCTGGGTGTCTGGGGGATGGTTTTAAGAGAGCTCCCTCCTGGAGAATGGTGCCTTTGTGGGTCTCATCCTTCACTCTGGTGGCTCTTTCAGATTTGGGACATCCGAAACTTGGAGTGTGTGCATGTGCTGCAGACATCAGGAGGCAGCGTCTACTCCATTGCTGTTACAAACCACCACATCGTGTGTGGCACCTACGAGAACCTCATCCATGTAAGGGCTGCAGGATTCAATATGTATGTCTTGGGCTGGGAGAGAGGGGCAAGGATTTGGGAGCCTGGCTCTGCTGGTCCCTTCACAGTGCACCCAGAGCTTGGAGATGTGGATGAACATCTTGTAATAGGTTATGATGACCTGCTCTCCTTCCACAGGTTTGGGACATAGAGACCAAGGAACAAGTCCGCACACTGACTGGTCACGTGGGTACAGTTTATGCCCTTGCTGTCATCTCCACACCAGATCAAACCAAAGTCTTCAGTGCATCGTATGACCGGTCTCTCAGGGTACGTGTCCGGGGCTGTGCAGCTGGGTCTATGCTCTTGGCACTGTTGTTGTGACACAGCATTAGAAGGGAGAGGATGGATGAGTAATCCTCTTCTGTCTCGTGCCTTCTGTGTGCCCACAGGTGTGGAGCATGGACAACATGATCTGTACTCAGACGCTGCTGCGGCACCAGGGCAGTGTCACTGCCCTTGCAGTCTCCAGGGGCCGCCTCTTCTCTGGCGCTGTGGACAGCACTGTAAAGGTTGGTTTCCTTAGGCTTCTCCGTGATGCTTTGGTCTCTTCTTAGTGCTAGAACTTGGGTGTTAAATGAAGGAGGAGTTGGCTTTAAATAAACAAGGAGATGAGTTTCAGCGGGTGGGAGGTTGAGCTCCTGGCAGAGGTGCTGTGGGGGCTGAAAACCCAAAGAGAAACTCCATGAGATGACGAAGAGAAGCCAGTGGAGCTGCTCAGAACTGTCATGACCATGGGTTGCTGTTGTCTCCTCCAGGTCTGGACGTGCTAGCGAGAGCCACCCTAGTTCTACACACTGAAAGACCAAAAATGCCTCCCTCCGTCGGCCTGCTGGGTGATGCCACCACTCCGAAGAACTGCTGCAGCTCCTCTGTGCACCGAGCACTGCCCGCTGCTGCCTGTCAGCTGCGGTTCTCCCCCTTGCAAGGACCCCGGCGGGCAGCTCTCAGGATAGATCTGGCCCACAGATGCTCCAGTTGTTCCCTCGGATCTGCCACGTGGGAATGCAGAAGAGCTGCATGGTGCCCTCACCGCAGCGTGCCGGTCATATTGGCCAGCACTGGGACCCAGTGGTTTGGGTGGGCGCAGGTGGGGGCTGGGAGGTGGTCCCATGTAAATGGTAGAGCTGAGCATTAGGCCGTGCCCTGGGTTAGGTCCCCAAGCCCTTTCTGTCTCTAGTATTTAATTTTACTGCCAAGATGTCAGGCTGATCCATCTGAGAAGAGGTGTTTTCTTGAGTAGCCAGGTACGATTTTTACGCCACTGCTAGTTCTCAGATAACACAAGCCCATTGTTCACCGCCCTGTAATAATGGTTTCCACATTAAAGAGAAAAAGCCTCTGTTGCATTTTTACTCACATTTTCTACTGTTTTTAAGATTGTAATATAGATTTGATTATTTCTTCATTGACAATAAAAGTCGAAAGAGTTGTTCCTGGCCGGCGTGAGTTTTTGCAGGACGGTGGGCAGTCAGGTGGGGAGCCCCCACAGCCCCTCGCCCCAGGCTGGCACTGGCTCCCCCCAGGGCAGAGGCACAGGGGAGCTCTGGGCTGTGCCTCATATCCACCCAGCTCTGCACAATGAGGACTGGGAGCTCTGCGGCACCGCTGTGCCCCCACCAGCCCCGATGGCATCAGGACCCTCGCACCAGGAGACACCTCTTGGGTCACAAACAGGGGTGGCAGCCCGGCAGGGTTTTATTTTTATTTTTTTTTTTTATTTTTCTTTAAATATTTGTTGCCAGACTTTGTATAGGAGCAAACTTCTTCACAGCACCACGAGCCATCTACTATTCAGAATAGGAAGAATAAGACGAGTAGAGGTGAAATCTAAGCACAGAAGAGCAGGGAAAGCACCAAGATGCATAGCTTGACAGATGGGATACGATACAGAGTTCATAACTTAATCATAAAAAATATATATATGTATATATCCATCATGTAGAACTTTATGGATTTTTTTTTTTGGTAGATACATATTTTTTTTTTCCTTTCAACAGATATTTTCAGGCGGGTGACTTTTTTTTTTCTTTTTTTTTTTTGTTTTTTTTTTTTTTTTTTTTAAAGTCTTTTTTTTTTTTTTGCGTGTGTGTGTGTTGTGATTTTTTTTTTATTATTATTTTTTTTAATTAATTTTTTTTTTTGTAAAGAAATTTCAAAGTTGTGCCAAACACATCTGGATCAGCGACCACAATGGGAAGGAGGGAGGAGGGGAGGGCGAGCCCAGCCTGCACGGCTCGGGGAAAAGAGAGGTACAGCAACACTTTGTTGGGAACCACAAGCAAAAAACAAAAAGATGCATTCATCAGAACTCAAGCGACTGAACCAGACTCCTGTTTATACATGAATGTACAGCCGTGCGCCGGGACGCACGCATACACCGCGTGCACACACACACACACACACACACACACACAGAGAAATGCCAAAAAAAGTCAAATGAAAACCTGAAGACACTCCGGAAAGAAACGAAACACCTCCAGTAGAAGAGTTAACAAAAACCTCCATAAAACAAGGCACATCCTTTGAGTTCTTAACTGTGTAAAAAGAAAGACGGTACACTGAAACCCAACGGAAAACCCGAACAGAACGGCTTGCACGTACCTTCCACCCAGATAAAGGTAAATATTGTGCTACTCGGAGAATGAGTTTGCCACAAGACACACAGCTTAGTATAATCTAATAGTTTTTCTCAAGCTAAAATCCAGTTCTCTCTTGATTTTTTTTTTTTTTTTTGTTTAAACTGCTTTATATATAATTGCTAATATTTTTTTTTTTAAATCTTTTAAATATATATTTGTTAAAGTTTATTCTTTTTTTTTATTATTATTATTATTATTTGGGAGATGGGGGAAATACTGCTTTATATCTCTCAGTCGTTTTTCCCCTCCAATAAATTAATACTTCGTTATAGCTTATGTCTTCCTCTCCCCCGGCGGCGAGGGGCTGGGCAGGGGCACAACCTGCTGCTCCCCACCTGCCCCAAGCAGGAGCTCATCCATTTGCAACGGTACCGACAAAAAGCCCCTCTCCCACCCCGACGTGAAGAGCCCACAGCAGCAGCGCGGGGCTGGAGAGCAGCGGGTGCAGGGATCCAGGTGCTGTGGGGGTACCCAGCACCGTGCCCACCCCAATGCTCGCGAACGACAAAGGAAAAAAAGTGACAAAAAGAGAAAATGAAAAGAAAAATTAAAGAAACCTAAGTGCATCGCCCATCCGGACTCGCCACCAGAACAAGAGGGCACGGGTGGATGAATGCCAGCAGTGCCACACCGGGGTTGTGCTACATTCGGGGACCGGGGCCGGCAGGGCAACCACGGGGCCACCGCGGGTAGGGAGAGAAAACCCCAAACCCGGATCTGGTGCGAGCAGGGCGCTTCAGGCCGGGTGGTGTTGCTTTGCTTCTTCTATTGTATTTTTTTGCTTCTGCAGAAGGGAGTCCTGCCGGAGCCGTGGCGGGCGGGCGCCGAGTCCGTGAGCACAATCCTGAGGTATCTTCTTCTTTGTGCAAACCCCGAGGGATGGGAGGTCCAGGAGGGGACGGCTGTACAAAGGGGATGGTGGGGCCGGGAGGTCGCGGATCATTGTGCCCTTGTGCCCACGTAAGCCCTGAGGTTCGCGGGGCCGTCGCGCCCCTCACTCCAGCATGGCATCCAGCTGGTCGGCCAGGTCATCAAACATGCTGCCGATGTCATCCAGGATGCTGCCTGTGCTCTTTGCCTCTGCAGTGGAGCTAGGAGAGTGGTGGGCACTGGGTCAGTGCATGCACTGGGACCACGTGGCTACCTCTGCCCTGTGCTATGGCCTTAACCCACTGTAGTCAGCATCCCCAGTGCCACCACAGCCCCGGTGCCCTCCTATGCCCCAGTGCCCTGTCCCCAGTGTCACCACCACCGCCAGTCCGTGGTACTCATCCTCCCAAACCACCATCCCCACGCAGCCCAGCGCGCAGCCCCCAGCCCTCGCACAGCTCCCTGCCATGCACCGCATCCTCGCAGCCCTTACTCTGCTGCCTGGCTGTCCTCCTGCTTGATCTTCTCTTCCACAGCCTGCAGCGCAGCAGCCAAGGATGCGCTGGTCTCCTCCAGCTTTTGCTGCACCAGCTCAGGGCTGGCACTGTCAACAGAGGGTCCGGCGATAGCGGAACGCGGTGGTTTCACTGGCACCTGCTGGGGCTGAGCGCCGGGTGAGAGGGGCTTGGCAGGGCTGGAGCAGAGTGAGGGCGGTGTGCTGGAGGGCTTGGCAGTAGTGCCCAGCTGCCGGGCGGGGGACGGAGTTGGCGTGGAGCCCGCGCTCACTGACTGGATGGCGGCATGGGGCTTGGGGGGGCTTGGGGGCCGTGGGGGGTGGTGTGGGCTTGGGGGATACCGGGGGTGGTGTGCCGTGGACCCGCTTCACCTCTGTGGAGAGAAGGGAGAGGGAATGGGGTAGGATGGCTGCAGTGACGGTGCAGTGCCCCGAGGGGCTCCCCACAGCCAACCATCCCCAATGCTCACAAACACCTACCTGGGCTGCCTGGGCTTGGGATGGGCATCTTTTTGGGGATGGGCACTGGTGGCCCAGGGACTTTCTGCGCTGGCTGCGTTAGCACAGGCTTGGGGGACACCGGTGGCTTGAATGGTTTCTTGGGCTCGGCAGGCGGTGGGGTGAAGTCAGGGCCGTCGGGGCGGGTGGCAGGCGGTGGGGTTGGGGGAGTCTCCGCTCCACTCAGCTCTGAAGCCGGCCGCCGCTTGACAGTGCCGGTGCCATTCTGGTAGACGACAAGAGGGGCTTGCTCCAGCGCTGGCTCCTTGTCCTTGGCCTTGGGCCGGCGCTTGACAGTGTCAGACTCGGTGAGGATGAAGCGGACGCTGTCCTGCTGGCTCTGCCGGGCACGGATGCGCCTTTTAAGTGTGGCACTGGCCTCCACCTTGGCCAGGTCTCCATGGCGGTGCGCTGGGGACAGCCCTTCTCCTGCCTCCACCCGGGCTGGTCCCAGGGCACGCGGTCGCTGCTTGATGGTGAGGTTGCCCTCCTCAGCAAAGGGGATTGTGTCTGGAGAGCCACCACGCTCAGCCCGCAGACGCTCGCTGGGGCCATCAGCGCCTGTCTCAGAGCGCACACTGTCAGCACGCTCGCGGCGTGCGGCCGCCACCAGCCCGGTGACAGGACCGCTGATGGTCCGGCGCCGGTTCACAACCTCCCCATCCAGCCCAATGGCCTCCTTGTGCTTGACGGTAGCCAGGACGGTGGCCACACGGGCACGCTCAGGGCTTCCTGGGGGAGCTCCTGGCTGCAGATAGTACCCATCGGGCCCCTTCCCAGGCACACCAGCCCCAGGTGGTTTCTGCAGGGCCAGCGCCCGCGCCCCACCACCGATGGAGGACATCTCCAGCATGGCTGCAATGCTGCGCACGCTGCCGGCGCTGCCCGTGTCCACGCTGCCACCCAGATCGCTGGCACGCCGCTGCTCCTGACGACTCTCCCCCTCGGTGCCAGGGGTTCCAGCGGCCACCTCACCTTCACCATCCTTGGGGAAGTCCTCGGCCATGCCAGCACTGGATATAGCAGAGCTGGAGCGCTTGGGGGGTGGTGGCGGGGGCCCCTTCTTCTTGGGGCGGATGGCGAAGGACTGGCTGCGGTTGACATTCTTGTCACCACCGGCAGGTGCCCGCACTGAGTGGCTGCGCCCCACGCGCCGCTGCACGGTAGCATAAGGCCCCGCGTCAGGCACCAGCAGCTCGTCCCGCTCCTGCTCGCTGTCGGAGGTGGCGTAGCGGTTCAGGCTGTGTGCCCGTTTCTTCGGCCTCCCCGGCTCCTCCTCACCCTCACCTGCTGGTGGCAGGCACAGCACTGGCACTGAGACAGGCAGGACCGGCACCCCTGGGGGGGCCCCCTCACCATCGGTGGGCTGCGGAAGGACGTAGGCAAAGCCACGGTGCGTGGGAGACTGGGGTAGGGAGCGGGGTGATGCGGGGCGCTCACCCGGTGGCAGCAGCTGTGGAGTGGGCTTCACCTTGGCAGTGGCGTGGGGTGCTGATGGGCCCTGTGGGGAGGGTGGACGTGGCTTGCCAGGGGTCTGTGGTGGTGTCAGGTGCCCAGCGGTAGATGGGAAGGCCTGCCGGGGTTTGCCGGGCACCGGCGGAACACTGGCACGCTTGACAGAGTGGCCATGCCGTGGCTGGCGGAGCTCCTTGGTTGGCGGCACGGGGGGACCCTCGGGGGCCCCCTCTGCCAGGTACTCCTGGCTCTTGGAGATGGCGGTGCTGGCAGGGGCACGGGGGCCATCACCCAGCAGCTCCTGTGAGCTGCTCATCTGCCTGGCGCGGCCGCCCAGTGCTGGTGGTGATCGGTAGCCAGGGGCTGCAGGGTTGGCTGGTTTCTCGGGCGTCTCCTCAGGGCCTTCACCTGTCATGGCCACCTGCAGCTCACTGCTCAGCTCGCTGTCCTGGAACGTTGTCATCTTGGGTGACTGGCACTCGGGTGGCTCAGGTGGTGGGGACTCAATGGCCAGCACCTCTGGGCATGCCGCTGCCTTCCTCTTCAGTGTGCCTGGCTCATACTTGCCCAGCTCAGCCCGCTGCAGCTCTGCCAGCTTCTTCACTGCGAGCATCAGCTTCTTCTGGTGGCCTGGGGATGGCACAAAGCATCAGTGTCAGCCAAGGAACCATGGGCCACCACAGTGCTGTGTCATGAGACCTTACCCAGCTTGGTGATGCCGATCTCCTGCAGGTCCTCCCAGGTGATGTCAGTGATGAAGTCGATGTTCTCGTAGCCGTTCTCCACCAGCACCTTGTAGTACTGGGACAGGCCAATCATGGAGAGCCACAGCGCCAGGTTGGCCTGGGGGCGTGGGACACTGCTCAGCACCAGGTGGCACCACATGCAGTGATAGTGCCACATGTGTCCCTGTGCTCACCGGGGAGGGCCTAGGGAACTCCTGCACCTCTGTGCTCCAAGGACCCCTTACTATGGTCCAGCTGATGGGACAACATCAAGGTGCAGACAGCATCACATCCATGTGGTGACAGCTGTCATTGGCCCGATGCCAATGCCAGGGACTTCAGCAGGGGATGTGCAGCTTCAGGACCATGGGATATGGGCTTCATCTGGGAGCAGTGAGCCAGTTCCCACTGCCACTCCCCCTGTGACAGCCCTCCCTGGATGGAACCTGCTGCAGGGCTCCCAGCACCGCTCTGGACGTGGCACTGTGGCACCATGGCACCTGGCCCCGCGCAGCCCTTACCGGCTTGTACTCAGGCAGCCACTCGGGGATGTTGAGGTTATTGATCTCAGAGGCAATCTTCTTCCTGTGCCCTGGCTTGGTGACACCAATGGCCGTGAGGTCCTGAGGGAGAGAGGAGAATCAGGATCACTCTCCACAAGCAGGTGGCAGTCCCAGGACTGCCCTCATGGCCTCACCTCTGGCGTCATCCGGCTGATAGTGGTGATGTCGTAGCCGGCGTTGATGAAGTTGGGTGCATAGAGCTGCAGCTGGAACTTACACAGCCACTGGTACACAGCTTCTGAGCTCTAGAATGAGAAGAGTGGCGTAGCTCGGGGCAGCCTTGGCACAGGGATCTGTTGCTCTGTTCTTGTCACAGCCCCATGGGCTGTCCAGCTGCATGCTGGCCTCAGATCAGTCAGCACTGCAGAAGGGCCATGTAGCCCCTTGGCTTAGGCATCCCATGGGCACGGCATCATGGCCAGCACCAGAACCAGCACTCAGCCACGTCAGCACAGGTGGCTGTGGCACAGCTCTGCCTGCAGCTGTTGGTGAGGGGGTGGCTGTGCCTATGCCCCCATCACTGAACTCCGCAGGGTACCCAGTGCATTCAGTGCTCCCCGCTCACCTTCCCCTCTGATGGTGGCTCCATCTTCTTCAGCTGCTGCTCGGCAGGTGGCTGGGGTGCATAGGGGGAGCTGGCCACACTCTGCGACCGCGACGAGCCTGCTGGGGGGGCAGCAGTCAGTGGGGAATGGGGCCACTGGTCTGCCGGGCCTCATGGTTCTAGGATCTTGGTCAGGCCCTCCTCAGTGCATCCCTAAGCTGCAGCCCCCAGACTCTGGCTGTGTAAGGCAGGGAGCAGAACCACTGCCAGGGGAAACAAGGCTAGGATAGGCAGAGGAGAGCAACATCCAGCCCCATGCAGCAGGGCACCCTTACCTGGGCTGTGCTCCCTGGGACAGTACCATCCCTGTGCAGATGGTGCCCAATAAGGCCAGCAGGCTATCCCCAGGCTTACAGAGGAGGCTGTGCTGGCACAGAGCTCTGCAGAGTACCCAGGTCTCCCTGGCCCCCATGTCATTGCGAGCACAGCTCCCACAGACCGTGGCATCATTGGGGCATTAAGAGGATGGAGCTCACCTGGGGTAGCCAAGTGGAGGCTGAGGGCCAGAGTGTTTTGATGGACCCAGCAGGAGGCAGACCCCTCCCCAGAGCTGCTTTCCTCGTCTGCCCACGTGCCCCAGGCAGCAGCCTGAGGTCCTGCTGCCCAGAGCCATCTGTGCCCACTCCTCCAGCCATGCCACTGGCACAGGGCTAGGCTCAGCCTCACTGCAGCCAGGAGACCCAGCACACTGCCACTAGCTGCCCTGTACCCCTGCACCTCAGCACAGGCATTCAGACACCCCTTGTCTTCAGGATGGTGGCCTTCAGCAGCCATCAGGTTGCACAGAAATTTCAACCTCATGTTTCTAATCCAGATCAACAAGAGCATCTCCTTCCCCCTGCTGGTAAGTGCATCCTCCTTGTATGTAATTGAACGCTGCGGGAGCATTTTCCTCTGTGTGTGTGTGTGTGTGTGTGTGTGCGCGCGCGCCTGCATGCATCCCTCTAGCACCTGCCTGCATCCTCCTTGTGTGTGTATGTGTTTGTGCACACTGCTCCCCCAATTCGTGTGCATCCCCCAGGCGCACGCATCTCCCCCCTGTCTGCATCTCACTCGCGTGGGCACCTCCTCACACGTGCCTCCCTCTGCCATGTGCCTCCCCACCACATCCATCTCCCACTCATGTGGGCACCTTCCACATCTGTGCACTCCCTCCCCAATACCTGCACCCCCCAGCGTGCACACCACCCCCATCAACGCCTGCATCCCCCTATGGATGCACCTCCCCCTTGCAGCCTGGGCACCCCCCCCGGCACGCACACCCGGCACGCGAGCATCGTCCTCCTGCGTCCCCCACGTGCCTCCCCCGCGGCGTGGGCACCCCCGGCCCGGCTGCCCCCTGCCGAGCCCCTGGGCGGCGAGACAGCGGCAGAGGGGGGGCCGGGGAGGGGAAGGGGCCGGGGAGCGCTCTCGCCCCACCGCCCGCCCGCGCCCCCCCCTCCCGCCCCCTCCCCACGGTGCCCCCACTAACCGAGGCAGGAGAAGGCCTGGCAGCAGCCGAAAGGCGAGAGAGTCATTTTTTACCCACACGTTTTCTTCTTTTGCGCCGGGTGCCGCGGCAATAAAAAAAAAGACAAATCACTCAGCCCACGGCAAGCCCGCGGCGGGGCCAGGGCTCCTCCTGCTCCCAGCAGCCGGGCCGGCAGCACGCACCTGCGGGGATGTCCTGCGCCTTGGCCGGCCCATCGCCCACGGCAGCATCTTGCGCAGAAGCCTTCTGGGAAAGGACCGTTGCCAGCAGCTGAAAAACACCCCGAGAAGGGGGGAGAGCACGCGGCAGTGAGGCGAGCGGGGAACCGGGGGGTGCGCGGCGGGCGCTGCGGTGCTGCAGGGAGGAGCGCGACGGATCTGGGTTGCGGAGGGGAAAGCAGCGCTCGCAGCACATATGGTGCTCGCGGGTGGTGGGAGCCTGCGGCACCGCGGCACCCCGGCGCACGCTGGAGAGGGCTGCCAGCACGGCCCCCCCTGCACGGTGCAGCCGTGGTGGCCGTCGGCATGGGGGGCACGCACTGCGCTCAGTGCCCAGCCGGTCACAGCATCACACCTGTGGGGAGGTGGGCTCATGGGGCTCCCTGGGATGTGTTGGCATGGGAAGGGGCTGCTGTGCACGGAGTGCAGGGGGCAGCGAGCAGTGCATAGCGTGCAATGAATGGTGGGCAATGTACAGTGCAGAAAGCGCAGCGTGCGGTGTGCTGTGCGCGCTGTGCAGCGTGCGCTGTGCGGTGCAGAATGTGCATCACGCAGTGTAATGTGTGGCGTGCAGTGGGCACTGCGTGCCATGCAGAGCGCAGCGTGTGGGCAGCAGCGTGCCCTGGGCAGCAGCGTGCAGCGAGCAGATGGCAGCGTGCAGCGCGTAGCTGCAGTGGGCCGCGTGCAGATGGCGGCGTGCAGTGTGCGGTGCAGTGCGCAGTGCAGATGCATCCTCAGAGAGGCAGCAGAGATGCACAGCTCAGGCCTTGGCCAGATGCTGCACCGCTACTGGGGGCTGAGCTCAGCGAGCAGCCAGCATTGGGGGTGGAAGAGGGTGGCTGGATGGTGACAACCATGATCCGCGGCACTGAATGCCAACAGGCAGTGACCAGCTTCCCCACGCCACACTGAATGCCAACAGGACCTTGCAGCACGAGGTGCAGTACTGATCTCAGCAGAGGCTCTGCACAGGATGGGATCACAGCTGCCAAAGGAGCAAAATCCCACCACGAGCCAGCACTGATGCCGGAGCCATGTGACACTGTGTGCCGGTGCACGGCCTTACCTTGACGCCCTCGGAGCCAGCATGCAGGGCGTGCGCCCCGCTGCCCGTGCTCTGCCCACTCCCGGAGCTGCGGGCTGAGGCCACGCTGCCTGTGCTACCCAGGCTGCTGCGATCGCCACCTGCACAGGGAGAGGAGATGCCATCAGGGATCCGCATCCAGGCACGGGGACACTGCGGTGCTGCGATGCGTGCTGCCCTGGGAACAGGAGGGAAATGCCCACTGTACCTGTGAAAGGTTTCCGCAGCACCCAGATCTCCTCGGTGGGTGCAGGTGCAGCTGATCCACCCTGCGATGGTGAAAGGTGGGATGGGCTCATGTCAGCCCCACGGGACCCTTGGTGGCAGAGCAGAGAGAGCAGTGTCAGGCAGGTGTGACCCAGCAGAAGGGGCTCACGGCAGTGTGGTGTGGGGAGAGGTGAGCCCTGGCCCTGGGCCCATCACCACCATATGCAGGGGAAAAAAAAACAGTCAAAGGTTTTGGAGGATGCCAACGCTGTACTTTGGTCCTGTCCTCCTCAAGCAGCCAGCATGGAGTGACCATGTGCACATGGCCAGAGACACGGCCCCATCCTGCCAGGCACCAGTGAAGGACAGATCCACTGCAGGAGTTCGGAAACAGGGACTATGTTGTCCCTGTGCACAGCAGGATGGGAACATGACCCACTGCAGGAGACAGGAGGCAGCAGTGAGGTCTAAGGCAGTAAGGACCACAGCCCCCACCCCACTGTCCCCAGCTGAGGCAGCACAGCTGTCCCCATGTGGCCACCTGCCCCCATGCGAGGGTGCTGCAGGACCAGACACCAGAGTGCTGTGCTCCCCAGGGTGCCCTACAGCAGTAGGTGACACGGGGGTGACCCAGCTGCAGTGATGAGACCCAGCCCCATGCACTCCAACCCACCCCAGAAGTGCAGCTCCATCAATGTGCTCCTCCATCGCTCCCTCCAGCCCCACTGGATCTCGCTCACACTGGCCAGAGCTGGAGATGCCCAGCACGGAGCTCAACCCATACCAACCCCCTGCAGTGAGGTCAGGGTGTAAAACAGCATCACGTGGTGATGGAGAGCAGCCCTGTGCTGGAGCTGTGCCCAAGCTGCACCCCTGTGCCACTGCAGATATTTTTATTCATGAGACCACTTGCCCAGCTCCCAGCCAGGCTGGAGCACAGGGCAGATGGTGCAAGGTGATAAATTCATGGTAGGAACGTGAGCAGGAAGCTGACAGCCACGGCGCTGTTAGGTTGAGATGTGCCCACTGTGTGTGCTGCGGCCATCTCACTGCAAGAGAAAATCTTAGGGAGCAGTGCTGCATCCCCATCCTCATCACACTGGGAAGCCACAGTCGTGGCCCAGTGCTCCTCCAACACACCGTGTGCCTCACATTGTGCAAGCACCCCCAGCCCCAAAGAGCTGGCAGAGGCCCCTGAAGGCATGGCACAGTGTGCCAGCACAGAGGCTACAACCATGAGAACCCTTGGCTCCATATCTGCTCCCCAGTCACCATCACTAGCACCCACACCAGCAGTGCCCATCACCCGCCTGTGCCACAGAGATAGTCCCAAGGACGAAGCTGGTCACTGCCTGTGGGGATCCAGCCCTGAGAGCACCCTCAGGACAGTGCCAGCCCCGCTCTGAATGCACAGACCCAGCCCTGTGGGCACTGAACACTCCAAGAGGGGATGCTACAAGGGCAGGGGTTCGTCACTCCTGCTGTCCCCTCCCAACCCGGCACCAGGAGGCTGCAAAGTGTTTTTGGGGGTGGATGCTGCGGGTGGGATAGCACACGGTCAGGGGCTCAGCGCCGCATCCAGAGCTGCCCGCGAGGCCAGGGATACCGGGGATGGGATGTGGCTGCAGCGGGGTGACAGCAGCAGTGCAAGGAGAGGGCAGCAGAGGGGCCGCTCTGCATGCACGCGTGCACACACACACGCATGCACACATCTGCATGCACGCACCAGCACACGCCTGCAGGCGCACACGCACCCGCGTGCAAGCACACGGCAGGCACCAAGGCACGGGGGAGAGAAGCCGAGCGGATAGAAAAGAAAAGAATAGATACACACTTCAAAAGAAAGAAATCCATCGAGAGAATGAAGCGAGCGGTGAACTACCTTGTCCGTAACGCGGCTCGTCGGCACTGCTAGGGGAGAGCCTGTGATAGCCAAAGGAACTGAAAAGAGTCTGATGGGAATGTGGTGGTGGAGGTGGAGGTGGAGGCAGGGAATGGAACGGATGGGACGAGGCGTCACCGTTTAGCACAGCAGCCCCGTAAGCCGGGAGCGGGATCTTTTGGTACTGTTGGGGGATTGTTACAGTCTCCCATGAACCTGATAATAAAACATAACAAGAGACAAAATGAAAAGAATCAAAATAACAGAGACATGTTCAGCACCACCAAAAAAAAAAAAAAAACAAAAAAAAACCAAAAAAAAAACAAAAGAAGAAATAAAAAGGAAAAAAAAAAAAAAGAATGAAAGGAAGAAAAAAAAGAAAATAAAAATTAAAAAAAACAGCTAACAAAATAAGCAACCAAAAGAAATTTGGAGGAGGCGGAACCGAGACCCAACTGAGAAGGAGCCGAGCCACGAAGCAACAGCAGAAGTCAGTACACAGCACAGGGCAGGGCATGACCCATGGGCACAGCCTGCAGACCCCCAACACCTCACAATGACACTGGGGGACATTGAGTCCCCACAGGGCTCCCAGGACGCCACGTGCCCTGCTGCAGGAGTGGGGCTGCAAGGGCGGCACCACTGTGCCAAGCCCTGGAGCAGCCCCTGTGCCATGTGGGGCTGTGTTCCTGGAGCTGCCACAAATCCTACACTCTGGAAACACCACTGCAACAAAGCCCAGGAGACACAGGCCTCGTCCCTGCCTCTGCAGCACTAGCATGCGACCTGCTGCCAGGCAAGGAGGGCTGTGCTGATTGGTGCAGTCTGGCACGGTTCCGCTCCCCTGGACCTCACTGAAACGTACAGTGGGGTGACATGGGGCTGGGAACATGCAGCAGCCCTGGGCAGTGAGCTGGTCAGTGCACTGCCTTTGAGTGCATCACATCAGTGCTGTGCCTGCACCACCACACTGCTCCTGGCACTGGGCACAGCCAAGAGCACCCCCTTGGGATGGGGAGCCACAGGGCAGGGAGCAAGTTCCTCTCCCTGATACGGTCCCTGGCCACAGATAAGTCCTAGTGGGGCAGTGCCAGGTCCCTGGCACCAGTACCCAGCCCCACATGCAGCCGCTGGGACCGTCCCTGAGCACCATGTTCCTAAACCACCGTAACACCCCAAACCATCCCCATGCACAGACAAAAACACTGCCCACCCAACACTCCTGGGCCGCCGGCACTGACCTCCCTCCCACACACACAGCGAGGGCATTGACTCTTTACATAACTGGGGGCTCTGACCCCCATACAGCAGTGTGCCCACATGGTGGAGACGCACAATGGGGACTCCAGCCCCACACACCTGTCCCACCCTGTGCGGTGGGGACACCAACTTCACATGCACAATGGGGACACTGCCCTTTGGTTCAGCAGTGGCAATGCAGCCCCTGAGCCCCAGCCCGACAGGAGGGTCCCTAGGGCTGGGCTGCTCCTTGGGACTGGTTTGGGAGGTACAGGTGGGGAAGTATTTGCCTGTTCGCTTGCTTATGGCTTCCACGAGGCTGGAGGGGAAGTAGCCCACGCGGTCATTGCCGGTCCGATTGTCGTGGATGCAGCCCTTCCAGCGCCCGTCTGCATGCTGCTCCAGCACCTATGGGCACAGAGTGGTAAGGGCAGGGCTGTGCCTCCCCACCTGCATTATTTCCCCCCAGCCCTGTGCAACCACACTCACAGTGATGACGTCTCCAGCTTTCACATTGAGGCTGGTCAGGTCGTAGTTGTTGCAATAGTCCTTGACAGCCCGCACCTGCAGTGCAGCTGAGGCATCTGTGGGAACAGAGGGCAATGTTGGTGGGCGTCCAGTGCTGAGATCCCCCCTGGAGGCTCTCTGATGGAGGTGTCCCACAGTTGATCCCAAGGTGCCCACCCTGCTCCCTCACCCCGCAGCATCTGCTTGATCTCCTTGCTGGCCTGGCTGGTGGTGAACTGGTTGACAATATCCAGAGCCGTCTGGTTGTACGTGTTCCGGACGTGGGCATTAATTCCACTCTGCAATGATACGGGGAGAGAGAGCTCGGGATGGCACACAGCTGGTTGGGACCCCCAGGGCCACCCAAAATGAAGGAAGTCATGCTGCTATGGGCACAGCTCACTGCCCTAGGCCCTCCCACCAGGAGGTAACATCCCACTGGGGTCAACCCCGTTCTGCACTCCTTCCCTGGGACAGCAGAGCTGGGGGAGCCCTTACATCCAGCAAGAGCCGCACCACGTCCGTCTTGCCACACAGGGCTGCCTCGTGCAGCGCTGTGCCCGCCTTGGTCTGCCTGTTGATGTCAATGCCAGCTTGCAGCAGGAGCCTGTGGATGCACAGATAGGTCAGCAAAGGGTGGGATGGGAATGATGTCGGCCCGCTCCCTGCACATTAGAGCACCCACCGGATGATGTCGATGTGTCCATTCTTGGCCGCAAGATGCAGAGGGCTGGTGCCATTGGGGTCGGTGGTGTCCCCTGGCTTAGGCTCCAGCAGCGCCGCACACATGTTGCTGTTCAGGAGCAGTTGGACCACCTGGATCAGCAAACACAGACGGAGCAGGGCTGCAAAGACGGCTCAGCCGCCCTGAGATGGCCCCCTGAGACCCAGGACAGGGGTGCCCTACCCCTGGCCAGCCCGCAGGACACAAGAGCAGGAGATGCCCTTGCTGTAGTTCCTCCCCACAGCTGCCCCATGCCACCCTACAGGACTCTCCACTCCAAGGAACCCACCACCCGCTTTCAGATCTGCCTTTCAGGGGGGCCCAGCTTGCAAAGACTTACCCCAACCCGGCCAAATTCGCATGCCAAGTCCAGGGGCGTCTTGCCTGAATTGTCCATGATGCAGGGGTTGGACTGGTGCTGCAGGAGCATTTCAGACTGTGGGTGAGAAGGACCAGGTACGGTGAGAGCAGGACATGAGCAGGGGCATGGAGGGCATCAGCCCCACTGCTGTCCCCTGTGCCCCACCACTGTCCATCCCCTCCTGTGCCCCACCACCGGCCCCGCTGTACCACGTCATAGTGCCCATGCTGTGCTGCCAGGTGCAGGGGGATCTGTCCCTCATCTGATGGGATGTTCACAGAGGAGCCTGCCTTCAGCACCATCTTCATGGGCTCCTTCTTGCCTTGCCAGGCCGCATAATGCAAGGGCCGCATGCCTACAGGTGAGCAGGAGGAGCAGCAGTGAGCCCTGCAGGGCACAGAGATGCTCCTGGGCAAAGACTGCAAAGGGGGCAGAGGGTGGGGGGCATGGGGCAGGACCCCAGGAGGGATGCAGCCCCCATGTCATAGCAAAGGGCATCCTTCACTTCCCACCCCAGTGCGCTCACAGCCAGGCACAGTGCTCTGCCCTGCATACCAGACCCAGGGTGGCACAGCCACAGGCACTCGCCTTTGTTATCCTTGATGTCCACCGCAGCCTGTGCCTCCAGCAGCAGCGAGATGAGCTCTGTGTTCCCATTGAGTGCTGCATGGTGCAGGGCAGAGAACCTGGGGAATGGGCGCAGTGTCAGGAGGGGCTCAGGCACTGTCCCTGTGGGCTGTTCACTCCAGCCTGCACCCACTGCAGCTCCCAGAGCACCTACCCTGCTCCTGCCAGCCTCCCTATGCATGCCTCTGCACTTCGTGGGCACCAAGAGAAGGAGCTGCCATAGGGACCAGACTCAGCCAACCCATATTATTTTGCTTTATTATCGTTATTTAGCATTTAGCTCTGTGAGTCCCAGGACCAGAGGCGAGAGGCCCGGCACTGCCAGGGAAGCGGCTGGCACCAGGGAACCCCTCCCTGCTGACCCACTTCCCCCAGCCTGGCCCCAGCGGCGCGACCGCAGGCAGCAGCAGGGGGGGCCCAGGCTGCCAGATGGCCACAGTGCCCCTGCCCTGTGCTGGGAGCTGGGGAAAGCCCCTCGTCCCACTGCACCCCGCTCCGCTCCCACCCGGCAGGCACTGACCTACTTGCTTCTGGCAGCAGCATCCTCTGCAAGGCTGCACTCGCCGCCCCACTGCTCCAGGCAGCATCCCCATCCCATTCTTTTGGTTACCTCAGCACCAACAAAGCATGGGATCTGCTGACCCTGAAGGCCCCACGTCCAAACTGTGGGCAGTGAGTGGCAATCCTGCCACCCCTGCAATCATCATGACCCCCAGCTGCACAGGGTCACATCCTCCCGTCCCCGCTCGGCAGCACGGTATGGCACCGCGGCCCCACTGCCTGTGATTCCCCATCCGCTCTCCGTCGGGCGCTGCGATGAGAGCAGACAGCTCACTCAGGAGGCCGATCCCCAGCGTCTGCCTGGAAATGTCAGCGTTTTCCGCTCCAGCGCCCTGCTCAAATCGGCTCAAGATGGTGCAAATCACAACACCCCCCCTTCCCTGCTGCCCCTGGGCTGCCTAGAAGGCTTCTCCCACAACGGTAGGGAGATCTACAGAGCTGTGCAGGGCCCGATGAGAGCATGGGGTCACCTGAGTATCAGCCTGGGAACCAGCAAGTGCTGCAGAGACGGGGAAACTGAGGCACAGCACTGGGACAGCTGAACTGCTGCAGGACTGCTGCTGCACACCCTGAGCCCATCAGGAGTTTGCAGGCAGAGTGCAGGCTCTCTCTATACCACCCCAGCCCCCAGAAGGTTTGCATAAAGAAGAGCCATGGGTGACACAGCCCCTCATCCTGCCCATGCAGCCATGTGCCTTCCCCGGTGCTGCCCAGCATACCCATACATTGCTCACACGTACAGCCACGCTTGCATGCACACATACTCTCAGATGCACATCTGCATGCTGGTGTGCACTCATGCACATAGACACATGCCCAGAGCTGACGCCCCAGCAGGAATGGGTGCTTCCAAAGCACCACCATCACTCAGGGCATGAGAGGCAGGGGCCGGCAGAGCAGGAGCACAGCACACTGTGTCCTTCAGCCCTCATCTCCACTGCTATGCATGGCTGGTACACACAAAGCCACCTGCACATGTGCAGTCATGCTATCCGCATTGCACCAAGGATACCTGCATGAGATCTCCCACTCACTGCACCCCACAACATGCCAAGCCCATAGCATACACACTCAATAGCATGCACACCCGGAGCGGGGTCACACTCACCCATCGGTGTCCTGGAAATTGACATTGACTCTCTTTGCTGATCCAAGGAGCTCTGGGAGAGAGGAAGAGCAGACAGCCCGTTAACCAGGAGGCAGAGGTGGCACAGCTGGGCACAGAGTGTGCTGGGGAGGGTGACACGGCTGCTGGTGGGTTTTGCAACTTCTCCTGTAGGTTTTGCTGGCTACAGCCCAGGGCCAGGTGTGGCACAGGGCTGTGAGGAGCTGCCCCAAGCTTGTGGGTGCTGCAAGCATAAGGATTGAGGTCTGGACAGAAGGGTGGCCATGCACAGCACTTCAGGCCCAGGAAAAAGCTGCTCCTGCAAGCATCAAAATGCCCAAAGCAAATAGCTCTGGGTAGTGCTGCTTTACCCACCACCACTTGCTGACAGCCCCACAGCTGACATGGGGTTTCCCTCCCATTCCCTTACCCACAGGACTCTGCCACACCTCAAAACTCGTGGTGCTGCCCTGCCTTCCTCTGCTCTGCCCGACTCCAACCAAAGGCGTGGGGGAATGGAGTCCCTCGCAGCAATCCAATTAGCGCAGCAAGGAGGGATGGAGTGAGATTTACATGAGATTTATCCACAAACGCCAGTCAGACTTTTCAGTGAAAGTGCTCTTCCTTGTAACAGAGCAGGAACACAACAGAGCCATGGGGACATGGGACACCTCCAAGCTCAGCTGTGGCACCACTCCTGGGGCCTCAAGGAGGAGGAGCGAGGCTGAAGGCTTGGCTGAGCTGCAGCCCTCTGAGGTGGGGGGGCACAGCCCAGGGCTGTGCAGCCAGGGGAGGAGGAACAGTGACCCCAGACCACGGGGTGCCCACGTCACCCAGCTGTAGCCATCCATGTGTGCAGTGCAGCGAGCAGGCAGCAGTGCATCCCCACGCCTTGGGGAAATCATTCACTGAGGGTTGAGGAAGAGCAGATCAGAGGCTGCTCCTCTGCCTGGGAGCACAGCCAGGTAAGGTGCTGCAGCACAGGCACAGCCCTGCAAGGGGCAATTTCAGGTGGAGGAGAGAGCACTATGGAAGGGCTGCTGGATCCTTGCTCATGATGCAGGCTGCAATACTTATCAGCACCTGAACACAGTATTCAGTTATAGAACACAGAGGGCTGTGTCAGCACACCGGGCACAGCGGGATGCTCGCCAGGTGCGGGCAGCAAGCAGCTGCTGCTGGCCCACCGTGGGGTCTGCATGTGCCAGTGGCTAATGGCTCAGAGTGGGGTCCCAGCCCCCAAAGGCACCCTGCTCTGTCACCAGGGTCTCTTGGAATCCACCAGCACACTTTAAGGGATGCAGAACCAGGGTTGGGGGGGGCTGTACCCCCTTCCCTGTAGCAGCATTGTGCCCTCAGCCTTGTCCCATTCAATCAATGCAGCATAGGACAGGTCTCACTGCAACGCAGGTAAAGCCGGTGCTGAGCAGCCAGAGTCTCTCCTGGCACGTAAAGCCCTGATTGAATTTTAAATCCCAGTCCGTGTGGTGCAGACAGGGCCAGGCGCATGCAGATGAGGCACCTGGGGATGGGGATCAGGCTCTGCCATCCCTGTCCATAGCCAGCGCTGTGCATGGCACTGACCCACATGGGCCCCACAGCTTCATCCCAGCTAACTGACCCCTTCATGTATGTCTCATTCCTGCAGAGGGAGGGATACGCCTGGTGGATGGTACCAGGCACTGGGAGAAGTTTCTCTCTGCCCACGCGGATGCTGCCAAGCACTGTTTGCCCTCGCTCCCTCCTGCGCTCCATCAGCCGCCAGACAGCCCAACAAGCCGTACATTTGCTAACAACAGCGCAGCCCAGGGCCGATGGATGATAGATAAAGAGGATGGCTTCTGAATAGCAACAAATAGCAGCTCCCATCCATCAGATTCACAGCATCTTCTCCTGGCACAGTGTGACCAGGCGGCTACATGGTGGGTGGGGGCACCACAGGGTCCCCACGGCATGGGGAGGGCCAGAGGCCCCCAGTACACCCGGACCAGACCACTTGCCTTCTTCCCAAAAACCACACCATTAGAGCATGCCCCCCATGGCAAGGCAGCCCCCTCGCTCTGGCAGTCCACCCTCCTTAACACAGTAACAAAACCCTCCAGCAACAAATCCCCATTGGTGCAGCCAGACCTCAGGGATGTAGCAGCCCCACGTCCCATCCCAGTTGCAGCAGAGTCTCCAGCACCAGGGCTGAGTGGGTACCCGCCAGCCCATGGCTGCCGCCAGGCTCCCCAACAAAGGTGCCATTCAGGGCTGGTGGAGAGGTGCCCAGGGCTGCTTCCGCTGCCCGCTGCTGCCCCAATGAGCTGCTCCCAGTAGAGGGGCCGAGCCGCCCTGCGAGATGCAAATCGCCGGCGGACAAAGGCAGCAGGCTGGCACGCAACACTGGGTCCAGTCTTCAGCCCTGGCCCCAGGATGGGCCCCGCTTGCAGGACAGTCAGATGGACAGATGGACAAGTGGTAGCAGGGCCTGTCCTCTCCCACAGGCTGCTCCCAGTGAGGGGCTTCCCCAGGAGATTGACATTGTGGGGTGCAGCAGTGATGCCAAGATGATGCCGATCCCCGTGCAACCACTTTTGCAATCTCAGCTGGGATCAGCACAGGCTCATTTCCCAGCCAGCAGCTTCTAATTATCTCCTATTAAGACCCAAAGTGCCTTTTTTAAAACCAAATCAGGGATGCAGCTCCCCGAGGATGCAGCAGCTCAGCCTTCAGCTGCAGGCAGGGAGCAGCAGTGCCGCTAGCATGAGGGGCAGCAGCTATCACCACTGTCCCCACCCAGGCCGGGGCTGCTGTGTCTGTGTGCAGGGACATGCACAGTGACAGCCCTGTCCTCACAGGGCAGTGCCACATGGTGCCCAAGCTGCAACCCCAGCTTTGGCCAAACCTGTGCTGGCCGAATGCTGAATAAACCAGAGCAGAGAAACTCTTCTCTCTGCACCTGCAGAAGAGGCTGCCACTGCCAAAATCTGTTTAGCACTTCAATAAATGCTCGTGCCAAGTGCTTAGTCAGTGACTTCCAGCCGCGCAGCGGTTTGACTTTTGTTAAAGCTCTGGCAGCAGCGGAGCACCCGCCTCACTCTGGCAGGGCTGCAGCAAGCACGGACCCCAGCACGACTCCTCAGCTTCTAACAGCTGGGCTGGGAGGCAGCTCACACTGATGGGATAACATCCTCAAATGGGCTGATGGAAATTGGACTGGCTGCCGGTGTCCCCAGGAGGAGCAGTTGGGGGTGGTTCTGTGCCTCCCACAGTGCACCCCCAGGTGCTGCTGGCAGCCAGGTGCCATCTGGCACAGGGGTGGAGTGCACGGATGATGGCTGGCACCCCTGCAGCCCTCACCATGACTTCAGATGGCAGGAGCCAATGCAGCTTTGTCTCCAATAGAGAACCAGCCCTGTGCCTGCACCAGGGCCCTTACCAGAGCTTTGCAACAGCAGCAGGCAGGTCAGGGCTAGCAGAGCACCACACCAGCTAGGAACACCAAGGCTCCTGGGGGCTGTGGGAAAAACCCTTGAGGACACATGACCCCATAGCCCTACACTTAAGCCCTTCCTGTAACGAAGACCCATACTTGATTAGTACAGATGCTGTGCTGGCTCTCAGTTGAAGATGCAGCCAACAGCACATCCTGGCACGGGGTATGGCAGAATGGTGCAGAAAGTTTAGCAATGCAGCTAGAGCATGGCTGGATGCTTGCAGCATCCAGGGGCTTGGGGTAGGACGGATGTCCCAGGAGCAGGAAGGCACTCCATGCATGCTACCAGATTTGCAGCCTCAGCCATGGCGTGGGATGCAGACTGCTCAGAGGGGGCAAGACACAAGACAGCTCATTAATGGCACAGAAGAACCAGGAAACTCCAACTAACGAGGGAGAAGAGAAGGAGCAGAGAGCGCTGCCAATTAAAAAGAGCAAACACAAAAGGCAATGGGCAGATGGGGAGGAGAGTGCAGTTCTGCACAGCCGCTGAGCCTGCTGCCACCTGCGCAGCATCTCACCTGCACCCAAGCAGTGATGAGGAACACCAGGCACACAAGCACTCAGTGCTTTCCAGCAGTACACCATCTCCTGAGGGCATCCCCATGTCCCCACGGACTGTCCTGATGATGGATGTGCCACGTGGGAGCACAAAGCTCCTTGGGCCTGGCTCCCTGTTCTCCCTCACTCCATGGCCCAGCAGTTGATGTCTGTGTATCCTGCAGCAATGTGGGGACTTGGTAATGCGAGGCAGGGCAGGACCCTATCAGAAGAAGGAACTACACTGCTCCTGGGATCCAGCAAGCCTAGCACAGCCGGACTGTCTCCAGCCAGAGATTGCTGTGCACGCAGAGAGACGCAGACATCTGCCATAGACACTGACTATAAACAGAGTCTGCTGCATGTAAACACCGCCTCGGGGAGCTAATCCCAGCTACTACTCTCATAAATGCCTTTACTTAAATGACGGGATCACAGTAGCTAAATGTACGCTTGGATTCAGAGCCCGGTGCGCAGGAACCAACCCCATCCTCCCGCCCCACGCGCTCCTGCAGGGCAGGATACAGTGAGCACAGCACGAGCAGCTGCATGTGCAGGGCTGCATTTGCAGGGTGAGCCATGCTGCCCAGCCAACTGCACCCCAGTGCCATTGCTCTGGGCACCCCAGAGCTGCCTGCTCCTGCCAGGTTGCATTGGGGTGATCACAGTGTGCCAGCTCGCAGGGAGCAGGCGTCTGCATCGAGCAGGTGGCTCCAACCTGCTCCACATCAACATCCATCTAATGAGGGGAAAGCTGGGCTGCCCCTCTGCCTCCCCACCTCGGTGGCCACTAATGAGCCCAAGATAATGGGATGACCCCACGGATTCCCTTTGCTTCGTATGTCCACTCCCAGCCCGGCCACATCCTGCCAGCACCATGTTCCCATCTGGAGAGCACAGCAATAATTTCAGACGGTGTGGGGGGATCCTGCAGCAACATCGCTGTGAGCTGCCAGATAAAGGAAGCATCCAAAATAGCTGCTCTTAATTATATCCTTGCTGACGAGTGCCACACAAACAACGGGCGCTGAAAGCTG